AGGAACAAACTGCTTATTCAAACCGTAACTCTAACAAAATTACAATACACCGGACAAGTGCTACCATCGTTGCTGGATGGATAAAAAAATTCAACTGTAAGGAGTCTTCCGAGGGGTGTCCTATGATTTTGCAACGACTACAAAACTAAAAAAAAAATTGTCTAAAAATACGGAAAACTATTCCGATAATATGGCTTCTTTATAGAGGCGTTTCTAATTCTACCATTTGCGATAGACGGCTTTTTCCAGAAGTCGAGATATTCATATTTTTAGTGGATGTCCTATGATTTTGCAACGCACTGAATTATTGGGCAATCACTCATTGCAGAGCCTCATCCAGTAGTTTACTGCATTCGACCCCGATATTCTTGATTCTGAACTAGCGAATGTTTGATAGTTATGACCACAAGCCTCAGGCTAGCGCTTAGCGTGTTCATACACTTGTTCCTTTACCATTGCCAAGTTCCGGAGACGGGGGAAAAAACTCGTTTTTGTACGTTGTACGTGCGAGCCATGGGTCATTCATAGGGAGGGCGTTGCTCATTATGTCAGGTGTGACCCATTTTGACCCCTTGATTGTTAACATCATACTATTTACACAATGACATGGGTAAGTGAGAGGAAGAGATCATTAAAGAAGTTGATCATCATTGCAATGATGAAATCTGATCCGACATGAGTGATTCGAGGGTCCACTGACCATTACGTCAGAAGAAGATCCATTAAGAAGATAGGTACACATGACTCATCATTCACGGATAGATTTACATGAAAAACTTTTATAGGGTCATTATGCTCTTTACATTTTTTATACTATGAAATTCCATAGGTGATATCACCGAAGAGATATCTGTTTAGCAAAATGAGCTGTACAAATACATCGTTTGCCTTTTGTTCTTTATTTGTTAATTACTGTTTAATTCTGTTGTTTTTGTCACTGTATTTTGTTTCTTTGAATGGGAAATTCTGTAAAAAGGCTATTGCTCTGAGCAAGAATAGCGGGCGACTTTTCCCGTGCTTAACGCGAAAAAAATATTGTGCGTCTTATTCGCAATAGTGAAACATATTACTCTATGGGAAATTTCGATTCATTCCTGAACATAATCTAACTTACACTGGTTTCGTGGTAGGGACATGGATGAGCGAATCTTTTACTGGATGTGTATTTCCCGAAAAAGCTTTCAAGAAATTTGTGGAATTATCAGAAATTTCGCTATTGCAGCTTTACTTCTATAGTCCTTTTCTCCCCCGCTTCATCCCCCCACCCTCAGCTCCTGGCAGGCAGTTCTGAGAACACTAAGGTAAGGGAGTAATTAGGCCATGCTTAAAGGAATCTTCCGCGGAAAAAGCTCCGCCTCCATTACCACAGAAAAACGATACCCCTTAGGCCCCTAGCCTCATGAGCATAGCAAAAAGAACGGAACATAAGCGTTAGTTTCGATAATACTAATCCTACACACAAGACAAAATGATCACTCTTTCCGTGGAAGATTCCTTTAAGGTATCGTTTTCTGTGGTAATGAGGGCGGAGCTTTTTCCGTGGAAGATTCCTTTAATTAAAGTACTCGTATAACTGGTTATTAATCACATTAGCGGATTTTCTGTCAGCAGTCAACGATTGCGTGCTCTGGAGTCCGTCTTCATCACGTTTGAATGGCTTGTGAAACGGTATATCTTCGATCTCTAAGGTTTACGTGTCTAATTCCTGCTTCGCCATGCCGCTGTTTTATACTAAGGGGAACGTAATTTAAGAGTAGGCGCTTGTCTAGGAAAAGGAGGACTTCCTCAAGCTCTGATGTAAAATTCTTCTTCGAAAATGTTAATTGTGAAAGTTTAGCGCTATATTCTTATCAAACGTTTTGCAAATGCTATCCATCTTAGCTCTCTTATGTTAGCGATGTATGCAAATTTTTTGGAAGGCTCAGGTTCAGCACGAACTATGCTGCAGATAGCCAGAATACTGAGCAAACGTTATATCGTCTTCTGATGCCCAAGCTCGACCAGGAAAGATTACGGGTACAACTTAATTATCCCCTTCGAAATCCCATAGATAAACCCGCTCGCAGCTAAGCTCGCTTCGCAAAGTGAGCATTTTCACTTAAACATTTAACATTAAAGCGAAATTCAATCCACTTGGTTTTGTTGTGACATTTTGTTTTCTATTCTTAAATTCAAAGTTACTGTAAATGTAAATTCTGCTTCTGAAAACAACCATTAGAGAAGCAAGCGAAAAATGGGGAGGACAAAAAATATCTGTCATACCGAAAAAGTTGGGGTCCCTTCATCTATAGTAGATATGCTAAGTTGGCAATGTCATCATAGTCACGAGTTTGATGTTACACCAAGTTGCTCAGGACATTACGCTCTAGCTGGAGCTCCTATTCAGCACTGTAGGACAGGGACATGACGCCTACTCATTTAAACTGATTGCCAAAACAAAAGAAATCTTGCAGAAATCCAAGTCAGTTAATCCACTCAGTCATGCATAGTATGCTATTGATCAGAAACTGAATAAATGGTTACTACGAATGAGATCTCGTTTCCACTTTATCGCTAATTGACCTCAGTGTCATCCACTTCAGTATCATAACTGGGGCTCAACAGTTCTCGTCATCGCGGCGACTCATCAATCAGCATCTGTTTACTTACTTGAGTCGATTGGCGCAGCATTACTTAAGCACCAGCGGAAGCATATGGTATCGGTGAAAGGAAATCCCCATCGATTACCATTCATTGCTACAAGTGGCGAAATGAACAACACAAAGAACCTAATGTTTGCTTAGCCCAGTATGGGCTGCATTACTTCAGGTGATTCCACGTCATTTTGTTGTTTTTCATCATTATTCATTGACCTATCATACAATTTTTCTGGATAAAATTTCTGGGGAAGAAAAGCGTGATACGAGCTCAGAAGCGTGAGAAATGTCAAAAGTCAAATAAATAATAGTGATAGGTATCTCCACACAGTCGTTTGACCCCTTCGACTACCAACGCGACAGTACTAAACCCACAGATCCGATATGTCCCGCCACAATCTCACGATTTTTTTGCGACAGGGGCGCCCGTTTGAAGACCGAGTTTTGAAAGGGGAAAAATGATAGATCCTCTACTCAAAGATTAATTTGCCCTACATTAAGGTGGTTTATTCTAGATTAGTTATTGAAGCAGTTTTAGTGCCGATCAGCCAGTGTGTGCGGTTTCCAAAAAATATAACCATCCAAAGTTCCAAAAAATTGTTTCTGCTGGTACGCTCATTTGTTCTTGTCACCTAACGAAGTCAGTGCTCGGTTTGAACCAAAAGCAAGAAATATCAAGACAACTGCGGAAATGCTTCGAGAAGAGCGGTTTCTCAGCTCGCCTGACAATTTTACCCAAGCTGAGAAATCGTGGTCTTCACCTGCTCAAAATACTACTATTATAACTAGAGGCAACCCGTGAAATTTGGGACCCTGTTTTCGAAGCACACTCACTGACTGCTCACCTGCGTTAATTAGGCGGCTTCTTTCATTAACTAATCTACAGGTAGTCATCTTAACCCATTGGCGACAATGTGATTATTCGCGTCTCTGTCACGTGGGAACGCCCTTTTCAATATTTTCGAAAAACGCATCATAAGCAAACCAACCAAAGAAGTATTGAACTCGAAGCAGAAACTTTTGAGACTTCTCACCTCTCAAATTGTTGCCGGTCTCTTCCAAAATAAGCGTTAATCTTTTCGTTTTGTCCAAAGTGGGTTTCGCAGTAAGTCGGAAACCCTTCAAGTTTCTATTCTAAAACCCTCAAATTGGGTCGGATCCAGATCTCTTTTGTGAAAGTTGTATCACACCTGCTGATGGAAAACAAAAAGCCAGCCTTATACATTCGAAAATAGCAAGCTTTCCTTTGAAAAATCACTTTCAAGATCCCCTTATGTAAAACATCAATTAGGAAAGATATGCAAGAACCATGATTACCATAAGTACTCCTGATTAATATGCCACTAAACAATTTTGGAAATCCTGCGCAGAAGAATTATCTCTATGCTGCGTCCCCACATCGAGCCGCATTGTCCCACGTGGCAAAAAAGTGCGTCCCCACATCGCCGCAATGTCGCCAATGGGTTAATGGGTGACGAGTAATTTTTGGAGTGAAGGGTGTAGTTTATAATCCATTATAACGCTCTTCAAACGGATGATCCCGTCCGAAAAAATCGTCAATTCGTAGTGAACACGCGTCCCTGGTAGGCAAGCGCGACGAGAGAATGGTAGTAGTGGTCAACTCTGCGCAATGAGGCTTGATGTCACCTAAATAATCTGCGTGATTAGTCCTGCCGGGAGCGAAATGGTTGGGCCACGTATAGGTGCCACTTTTGCGCTAGGGGGATAGGATTTCCTGTTGATAATACTGGGGAACCGAGGCTTCCATGTTTGAACTCTTAAGAGTAGCATTTGATGGCAATTGAATACAACAATATTATGGTGGAATCTTTAATTTCGTATTACTCACTACTTCTTATTGCACGATTGATAGAGTGCAATGAATGTCGCAGTACGTAATATATTGAAGTATTAGAGGCAGCGCCGCCCTCTGCCCGGTGTCTCGCAGTCGCCGCCACGTCACAGTGACGTAACCAGCACGCGCGCGCTTTCGCGCGTCATTGAGAGTTTTTCCATGGAGTCGGGGACAGGAAGGCTTGTTCTGCCTGCAGCAGATTTGTCCTTGGAAAAATGTGCATGATTGGGCTCCATTTACCGGCACATATTATCTCAATGGAACTGATTGTTATGAGAATCATCAAATAATCTTCTTTGTTGAAAAAAGTGATCAAGTTTCCAGTTCAGAAATCAGGTCATCAGTGGAAATAAGTGAATGGCAGTAAGTGGTCATAATTAAACAAGAATAACTTTAGTTCAGTAATCAGATCATCACAGAATTAGCTATGTATAATTGAGCAGAAATAGCATCAGACTACCTATCAGGGCATCACTAGAATTAGTTGGATATAATTAACTGAATGGCCTTTATGAGAATATGCGTTTCTGGAAATATCCGACGTAACGAAATTTACAAACCTGACGTTCGCTGAGGCTCAGGGACTTGGCTAATTTCTTTCGTTCCTGGGGACTGAGATACTTATGGTTGTCAAATTTATTCTCAAGAGCGTCGGTTTGCTCATTGGTGAACCTGTAAGACGATCATAGAAGACAGGGTCAAATGATTTAGTGAAGTAACAAAAAAAAACGTGTCCTACCGAATCTGGCCTCCTTTACGTTTTTGCTGCGTCTTTTGCATGTAAGGGTACAGCCATGAGATGCACGGATCCCATACACCGTGAAGATTTCTGTGCACTGAAACGGGAATTCATTAGTTCTATGTTCACAGTCCTTGCACAATTACTTGCACAATTAGGAAGACTGTGTTCATTTTTCATGTTCATTTTGTACGGAGTCTTTCGCTAATCGAACGCCAACCGCAGAACTTTTGTGGAGGTCTTATTTTAAGCAGCTGGAATGAATTATTTCACTGGAAACCCAATCTGAAGGCCTCGCCGAATTCACTAATTTTGTTTTCACTATATTCAACGATTATGATTGACTAAACAGTGAGTGAGAGGTGTATGAGCTAGTTATGTATTCTGCCGAGCTGAATAATTCCAGGGTCGTTGTGAAGAGTCTAAGTCTTAACCACTCGTTGGATCGCAAAATCTTATAGAAAAATCCTTCGTTAGCTAAACTCTTCCATGAGCATACCCTAGAATACTCGCATGGACACCGTTTAATGAATGTCCAAATCATATGGGCATGCCTATTCCACAGTCGTGCTCAGATGCAGGCACCTTCAAGTTCGGATTCTGCACTTGAAAAGTTGATAAAAAAGAAACTGAGGCCTTTTCATGCTTTGCTGTTTTAACAGACCTCATCAATGACCGAGCAAGGTCGTTGGGATGGCAATCTGGATAACACACGGGCTATCACTCCAGGTAATCCGACATATACTGACATTCCGAGAGTTTTTCCCTTCCTATTTCACAGTTTTTCTCTTTTGTCCTCCTTGGTTCACCTCGTTTGCGTTCATCTGCTCCTGGCTAATACATCATGGAAGTCGATTCTAGTGGTGAAAAGTCCCACTTTGAACCGATTGATTGACTTGGTGTGGAAGCAAGTACCTGTCCGTGTCATTCATCTGAGAACTTATCCAAGCCAGTCAGATCATCCGAGAGTATTATTGCTTTGATGGGTTTCTGACATGTTTATGAAGGAAAGCAGCTCGAGCTTGAGTGATTGCTCGAAAGTCATAAAAAAAGATAAATTTGCCGTTGATCAATCCCTTTTTGGGATGCGGCACGCATTCTGTACATTCGTAGTGGCGTTTGAATGCGATGTGGCCTATACAATGACTTGCGGGGGCCAGCCGATGTACAAGTCAGTGTTTTTATCCTCCCAGACAAGTCTGGTACCAATTAACCGACCCCGGAGGGATGGAAGGCTTGGTTGGCCCGGGCGACTCACGACCCAGGATTTGATCCCCGGACCGCTCGCGTGGTAAGCGTGCCACTTGCCACTACACCACTTCCGCCCTTTTGAAAGTGATGGTAGAGCAAAAGCGCGTTCTCCTGACTACATTTCCTGATCTCAAGTTATATGCACAGCGCATTCAGCAGGATGAATTAGGCTGATGACGCCATCCATTAACATGACCGCACGGCTACGAAGTCGGCTCGAAATGCGGTTAGCCCAG